TAAATCAAACCCCGCAAATGTACCTATAACATATGAAATAATTGTACTTAACCTTCTATGATATTTTTTTATAAAGATATTAAAAGTAAAAACTCAAATTTGGAAATTATAGGAACAGTACTTAATACATTTTCCTTTATTTTAACAGAAATTATTTAGCTAAAAATATAGAAGTATCTATATGTACAGCGAGACATGGGATACACTAAGATACAGTCCATTATAGTTCATAGTTTTGTTTCATTTATAATAATAATGCTTTGTAATAACTACCTATAGTTTTTCATAAATTAATATTTAATAGAGTTTGCTTAATGATTTATTTGAAGTATTTGTATGTATTTTTGGGAGATCAGTATGTAACCTACATAATAAAAATAATTATTCAAATTTAGCACCATCCATTTCAGTCACCAATGTGTAACCTACTGTAATACAGCAAAGCGACACACACTTATCCGATTTTTAAAAATTTTATTTGATAAAATATTTTCACTAAGAAATTCTGTTGAAATAAAATCAGTGGACATGGTATAATATTATAATATGATTCACGTATAATTTGCTTTGTTGAGTCTAAAACTTACAAACGAAAAAGAACTTTATGGTCTGCAAAGAATTTTAATTGTAATATTAACATCTGTTAGCCGGCGCTACGGATATGCAATTTTGCTACATTGACGTGTAGGTAGGTGCTCTGTATTATCGCTGGTCTTTAAACGCATTTGATATACGAACAGTAGCTGGGTACAATTATTTGCGGGTATACGAGTAAAGGGGTATAAAAGTGTGTCAAATTTTGTTTGGGATTTGAGAATGGGTATAATTTAAGGAGGGTTAATCGTTTTTACTCCCTGAATTTATAACGACCATGTGACGGGGCTGAGAATAGTTAAAGGACTATACAACTAAAAAAACCTATTTTTTTTTTATTGTTTTAATGTATAGGGCTTTGAAAAAGAATAATTTTGGTGGTCTTAAAATTGTTGTCGGACAATTGGTTCCGTGTTTAAATATAAGTCGCGTTTTACGCGTGACGTCATAAAATCACATCGTCCGACGGGTCATATCTAATATACACGCGTGGAATTTATTTCGCGCGATTAAAATAATTATAGAGAAAAATTAATTAAAGGTACAAGTTATTAAAGTACATTTATAAAAAGGTTATACACTTCTTTAGATGGTCATATAAATCATATTATTTTTATTGTGTTGAAATTTGTTTCAGGGTAGTTTATAGGAAAGACAAAAAAATAAAATTTACATATAAGGTATATTTAATAATATTATAATCCGTTATTTAATGTATTAACGAATGTGTTATTATAATTAATAATATAAGAACTGAAATTAATGTGTAAAAAAAAAACTCAAAATAAATTATATTACTTCAAACAAAAATACATAATATATTATACGTAATTGAATTATTATAATTATCATTACCTAGTTAGGTATATTATATATTTACTATTTAGGTAAATCTTGAATATCTTTTTGATTTTAATTCTTCATAGGGCGGGCGAGGTGTTCGATAAATATTTTTTGGGATGTCGGTATTACATTCTTTTTGTACATCAAACGGCCGTGGAGAAATTTCTTTTTCAGCTTCTTCGATAATTGTTGACATTATATCACGTTTCCAGTTATTTTGAGTCTTATTGTAAGAATTTTTTATTGTAAATCGTCCTAGTGGTTTAGAAAATACAACTTTTTCTCCTATTAATGTTTTTTTAGTATTATTGTTATGGTCGAGTATTGCTAATATAGATCGTACGAACATACCATTGAACTGTAAATGGATACGTTTAGGCATATACTTGAGCCTCACGTTGTGATAGGATTCCAATTTTCCGGTGTGCACAAAATGTTTTGCTTGTCTCAAATCTTTAATGAAGTCCTTCGCAGTTAGAATTTTTTTTAAAGCATCATAGGAACTAGTTTTCATATGTATCCAAAGCTTATTTTTTACTTGTTCGTCCGTCAGTTTTTCATGTTCGCATTGTTTTGTTATACCGTTTTCGTCTGTCCATTCATGAATATTAGCAATCTATATATATAAAAATGAATGTATGTCAGTGTGTCAGTGTGTCTGTGTGTCTGTGTGTCCATGTTACCATGGTTACCAAGGTTGCCATGGTTACTAAGGTTACCAAGATTTCATATCAATCTATATCTATCTTCTATCTTCTATATATATAAAAATGAATGTATGTCAGTGTGTCAGTGTGTCTGTGTGTCTGTGTGTCCATGTTACCATGGTTACCAAGGTTGCCATGGTTACTAAGGTTACCAAGATTTCATATCAATCTATATATATATAAATGAATGTATGTCAGTGTGTGTGTGTGTGTGTGTGTGTGTCCATATTACCATGGCAACCATATCTGTATATAAAAAACAGTAAGCTGATTGACTGCTATCAACGCACAGCTCAAACCATTGGACGGATCTGGCTGAAATTTGGCATACAGATAGCTATTATAATATAGACGTGCGCTAAGAAAGGATTTGCCAAAATTCGCATTTTAAATAGGTGCTGAAACAGGGACATTGAGATTCACGATAGAAATTGGAAATTTTATTTTTATTTATTTATAGTTGCCATTGGTTACAGTCTACATTAGAAATTAGCATTTATTTATTGGTTGCCATTGGTTATTCGGGCAGATCAGGTACAAGCTTGCATCAAATCGAATTATTGAACAATGCTTACCAGGGTGGCAGAGTTGCACTTACCGCAGAAAATTACACCCAAAAGGAGTTCAACAATCATAATTTTTTTAAGAGTTGCGATTTTTTACGAGCAACCAAATTTATTATATTAATCCACAGTATTACATCAAAATAAACTTGGTATAACTTTGATACTTTAGAGTTAAATCATACACTTCCGTACAAACAGCACGGGGTCCGCGATCTACCGCAGGTAGATTGCCTACCTGATAATGTACTGCTGCGATTCAGAATTTTTATTCAGGGCAACGGGAAAGATAAGATAAATTTTGAACACCATACACGTTAATGAATTGAACAAAGTTTGAGTAGGTAGTATTGAGTTGATCCATTTAACGGGCGACGAAGTGCACGGGATCAGCTAGTATGATATAAAATAGAAAGAAATTTATCTTCTAATAAATCGGCATTTTCTTCGCACGTCTGTGCTGACCACCATAAGTGATTATTAATACTTGATTTCCATAAATATACATCGGTATATTTTTTCTCTAATGTCTTCATTCTTTTCATTAGACTTTTTGACAGGTGCCATATGTCAAACTCATGATTTATTTCGGGGTGTTGGGTCCGAAAAAAATATCGAATACCTCTATGACGGTCAGATAAAAACAGTTGAATCTTACAATCATATTCTACAATAAATTTTTGTATCAACATTTCGCATGCGGCTCTTTCGAGGTCACCCGTGACCATCCCTTTTTGGACTAATTGAAAATCAATTATTTTAGAACTATTTAAATCCATAACCGAATAAATGCAATATTTTGCGCAAAAACCTGGCGAATCGTATTGGCCATCACCAGCAAGCCAGATGTTGGGTAATGTCTTTAAATTATTTAAATTATCTTGTTTGTGATAAGTCCAAACATTGTAAACCACAGGTCCAATATATTTTTTTATGATTTTGTCATAAGATGTTCTAGAGAAAAAACGTAGATTCAATACTTGACAAAATTCAACCATTTGCGCAAATAATATACCTGATAACATTAGTGCCGATCCAATGCATATATTACCAATTGCTCTTTTTTTAATTTTTTTTTGTGAGTACCACTGAAACGTATGATTTTTTTCACATACAGTAGTTACACATAGACAAGAACCTTGAATAAAATTGTTTAATGATAATATTTTTGACCCACACACATTACAATTATTAAAAAGCTTTGATAGGCATTCCCAAAAAACGATAAAACACTCATCCTTATTAAAATTTATTGATGATTTAACATTTTTTGACTTACAAGTATTATAATTGTTTTGCGATTCTGAAGTCTCATCATCACTGGTGTTTTCGCTGTCCTCGGATTCCGATTCTATTTCAAACGATAAGTCATTTTTTTTTTCATAATTAATTATTCTGATCAAATTTTCGTTTCCCAATTCACACTGTATTCCTATTTGACTTGTTTTTTGAATTTTATTATTGACATCTGGCTCCTCAATAGTTGAAACATCGTCAATTTCTTCAAAAAACGACGACTTTGTTACCATTTTTTTCTTCGGTGTACTAGTTTTTATTAAATCATCAATTATTTCTATTTGGCGTTTTTTCATAATATGCAGTGATTCTTGCCTGGGATTTACAGATTTTTTTGAATTGCTTATACCAGTTTGAATACTAGATACAGCGTCGGGATTTAATCTTACAATGCACTTGGATTCTGGCATAAGTTGTTTTTTTAAAACATCTGATTGATTAAAATCAAGCGGAATAAAATGTTTAGAACAAATAACCGACCCAGCACTAGGCTTAAAATTTTTTCTTTTACAAAAATGCTCCCATTTTCGATGTCGTAATGGTGATTTATCGCGTTTTGGAAAAGTGTAAAAATGCAAGTTATTATCATTATCAACTGTTTTACGTTTACGATCGTTATTCGACGCACAACCAAATACCGAGCACAAAGTCATATTTGTTTGATTATAAATAAAACCAGAAAACACGCGGATACTTCGATACTTCACGGTACATACTGTCGACTATCGACTGAGGTCTGACTGTCTGAGGTATAATTTATATTTATGCGTAATGTGAATAGCCCGTTTATTTTTATCAATTAATTTATATTCCATAAAATATAAGCTATTTATAAAAGCTATAAATAATATACTTCATTGGTGATTACGTATACAAATTCATATGGTCGTTTATTACAGTACCTACTGCAGTGTGCGCTGACTGATTCAACTTCAGCGCTAGAGTCTAAAACAGTAAACGATTTTTGTTCTATTTTGAATTTTATAATACAATTATTATGTCTATAATTCCGTACAATTTTGAGCCTTTGGTTACCGATGTTGATAACTATGATTATTTGGAAAACGAAGAATCAGTAGTTAGTTACAACGATAGATCTAAATTAGCTGTAACAGATTGGTGCTCGTGTGGAAAATGTGAAAAACAAATAAATGATCGTGAATGTGTTTGTTGTTTTGAACTTGCGAATATTTTTAAAATGTGCACAAACAATGAGTGCATAACAAAAAGTGCCTCATTTTCAAAAATTATATTAGATGAAGACATTTTAAAAATTACCAGACAATACAAAATTTCAAAAACAAAGAATAAAACAAAAAAAGAAGTTTACAATCAGCTACTATGGAAAATAAAGCATGGCGATATATTTGCTACAAACAGTTTACACTTTGGGTTAATTCATGGATGACAATTGGAAGAGGTAAGTAAATTTATTTTCGATAGTGTTACAGTGATAAAATCATAGGTAAGTAAAAAAATTTAATAATTTATTGTTTATTGTGTTTGTTTTATACTATAGGGAATAGAGTTGTTATTCCATCATGTGTGGTCACAAAAATTCGTGAACGTTATCCGGAAGAAAACGGATTATATATTGGTTTTCAAAATCCGTGATTCATGTTATCTATTTCTTATTATAATAAGTTAAACATTATAATTCATAATATAGTAGGTACATAAAATAATAATATGTAAGTTGTTAGTTTTATAGTTGTTTAAAACCTACTATTACACTTCTATTCTAGGGTACTCACCTTTATTGAATGATAATATTTTATTTTGAGGTTTTTTTTACACATTAATTTCAGTTCTTATATTATTAATTATAATAACACATTCGTTAATACATTAAATAACGGATTATAATATTATTAAATATACCTTATATGTAAATTTTATTTTTTGTCTTTCCTATAAACTACCCTGAAACAAATTTCAACACAATAAAAATAATATGACCATCTAAAGAAGTGTATAACCTTTTTATAAATGTACTTTAATAACTTGTACCTTTAATTAATTTTTCTCTATAATTATTTTAATCGCGCGAAATAAATTCCGCGCGTGTATATTAGTACGACCCGTCGGACGATGTGATTTTATGACGTCACGCGTAAAACACTACTTATATTTAAACACGGAACCAATTGTCCGACAACAATTTTAAGACCACCAAAATTATTCTTTTTCAAAGCCCTATACATTAAAAAAATAAAAAAAAAATAGGTTTTTTTTAGTTGTTCCGTCCTCTTAAGATGTACAGTTATAATATATAAGTATCGGCTTTTGGTATTTTTGGTGGTATTTTTTCCCAGGGATTTTTGTTCCGGGAGTTTTTTTTCTGATTACCGATGAAAAATATTAGGTACTATCAACGCTATTACGCATGTGCATACATACAAATAAAAGTAAATAAATACTATAACACTGAAATCTTTATTTAAATTTAGCTTAAATCTATAATATTATTGTTGTATAACTGAGCAGTGAGGTGAGATCCTCCTTATTCACACGCATTATCACGATAAATGGTTGTTCGGCCGCATAATCGACTGGCCACCGTCACTGGTGTTTATCTTGGAATTTGGGTATTATTTTTGTACTTATTAACCCGAAGATACAGCCTGCTGTCAACTACGTTATTCTGATTTTGGTTTTCTGTTGTCATTGTATGTAAGTACTTACTATTAGATGATGGATTTTTATTGAAGAAAAGTAGGTCCGATTTTCATATTATAATTTACACCCATAACCTATAAACTGGACACACGTCACACGTACACATGATGATAATCATTTTAATCATTGATATAATTATTGTTTTTGTAAATTATGTAACATTTTGATTACCTATACTCCTATTACCTATTACCAATATTAACCACCGCCACGCGACTTCACATATTAACACGGCCGTCTTGTATATTAGGTACAAAATTATATAATACTATATTCTATATAACTACTTATGGTTTGAAATTAACTAAAAAGGTGGAGCAGAAAAGAAAAGAGAGTTTATAAATATTATCATTGATTTTATTATATACTAGTATTTATAATCAATGATATTATAGGCATGTACAAAAATAGGTAGACTTCTATTTATTGATAAATGTATTCATTTAAAGAATTAGTTATTGTTTATTTTACCAGCACAACCAGTATAATAAGTGACAAAGGACGTCAAGTTACCTTCTACAGTTATACATTTATAATTAGTACAATAAGTGCTACTATATATTATAAATTAGATATAATATAATATAAACAATATTATAGTAAAGTGGTATGGTAAAATAATATGATAATACCACTATAATATTGTGATATATAGTAAAATAATAAATGTAGTTGTAATAGTGTATCTAATGACTAATATTAAATTTAGATTTATTCTTAACAAAAAAAGGTGCGGGTTTGCCGGTTGTTTCCCTCAATGTTGAGGTAGGTAATTGTTTTGTTGGATTTTGGATATTATCATGTTTACCGCTAGATTACATTTTTCCCGGGCCAGTCAGATCATGCCTATCCGCTATTGTACCTAGTTATATAATAAGGATGGCCAGCGATAAAAGAGTTGCTAGTGGCAAAAAATAATAAAAAATAATATGATGAGCAGGGAAAGGAATAATATCTATTATCAGGGCCGAATTATGGGTGGGGGGTTTTGGGTGGATGGCGACAACTGCCCCGGTTGACAAAATGTTGTAGTAAAAAATGTGTTCACCTGTGAATTATTAAGATTTTAAAAATTTTAATTATTTTAATAATATATAATATACCTTATAAATATAATATAATATAATATATTAATAATAATAATAAAAATATAATATTAGTATCTGCATAGTCTATAATATAGTTCTGTTACATTTATTTTTATTTTGTTCATAATATTATAAATATATATTAATATGATCCATGAAGTATCTAAATATTAAAAACAACTTAAATGATGAATTATAAGCAAAAGCGCAGGACTCGAGGGCCAAACACCAATTTAACCAATCTATACTATTATATATCTATGATAGTATCAGGGTTTGTTGTTGATGTACCTATAACGCGTTATAAGTACCTAATGGATATTGTGATATGATTTGGAATTTATTATAGGTACCTATTATAGGTCAATTTTTTTTAATACCATAGATAAGTATATAATATGTCTTATACCTAGACTGACATACCGTCTCCGCTTAGAATCGTTTTTCTTATACAATGATATTATATAATTGAATTCAAATTTAATACCATCCAATATACAGTGACCCACTTGTAACCTACTGTACAGCAGATCACCTTTTTAGAATATGATTTACCTACTATGAATTGTAACTACCTACGTTATTTTAAATTAAAAGTATTTCTAATCACAAGGTACTTACATCAGAATTATTATCACGGGCTTAAAACTTTGTTTTGCTTTAATCATAAAATAAATGATCTCTCTGTTTTACATTTTTACAATATGTTATGTCTATTAATTAGTAATTAATTTAAATAATTGAATTGTTCAATTTTTGAATATTAGGCATATTATATAATTATTATTTCAGAATTTAACTATAATAAGTAGGTAGGTAGGTAATTAAAATGCATATTGCATAAGATAGTACCCATACATTTATTATCGATTTTAGATAAAAATAAAGATATGTTATGTAACAACTTATTATACCATTTTATTATTATGCAATAGGTATATTATTAAATTTATCAATTTAAATTCCTAGTACCTAGGAGGTATTGAAACACACAATTTAAATGACATTTTGAACATTTTCGTCGAATAAATCTAAATATAAAATTATCCTAAAATAAAATAATGCTATTCTGGGATGAACGTTTTATATATTTATAAAAGTAATTCGAAGAATAAATCCTATTTATTTCCTATCAAATAACATTTTTTGACAAAATATCTAAACAGATTTTTTCGTCGATGCCCTTATATTGTGTTAGCACTTATAATACATGATATAATATTATAGTGCCTATTTGCTAAACATAATATACCTACCTATGTAAGAAGTATCTATGTGGTATGTAGTGCGTATGTTTTCAATTATTTGAATACAGTCATGCAGACATGCAGTGTTATAGGCTTGTAGATATAATTTAACTGATTATTATTATAACAATTATTATTCACAGTTATTGACCTTATAAATTATAAATCAAATTAAATTAAAATTAAAAATTAAAAATTAATTCTAGTTTACACAAACATAGTAATCTACCTAAACCTAATATGTAGGTAGGTAATAGCATATTATCAGACAAATTGGTTTCTAATAAATCAAGAATACCTAATTTACAAGTTTTATACTAAAAAGAAACAACTGAACTTATTAGATGATCTTTCTGCTATTTTTTTTTTTTTTTTTTGATTTGATAAACCATTTATTAAATAAATTAAAAATACTAGTACAATTAGTATACTAAATAAACATTTTAAAAACATATGGTTATATAATATAAGTACGATATGAACTTATGACCTATTTCAAACACTTTTCTCTTATAAAGTGTAGGTACCGCTAATATATTTGTTTTCCTAATATCACAATATTTTTATAATTGAGTTTTGAGGGCTAAACCTCATACATTTTAGATATGAAAAATGAATTTGGTTCATGACATGTTCCCCACCAGCACTGGCCTTACAGTGTTCAGATGCTTACTTATTATAGTGTGAGCCGGGCATAATAGTACAAGTGTCAAATAAAAAGTAAGAGGAGGTATTTTCGAATTAATTGCAGTACTGCAGGTAAAACTTAACTTATCTCTCTTCTTAAAAACAATGGGCCTCGAGGGCCACGAGGGCCACGCTTGACCAACCCTGCAGAATCCCCGCTGTTGAATTCAGAGATCATGCAAATATTTCATACTCTTTAAAGTTTACCTAAATAAAATTATGCGTATAGCTTATGAATTTGTCTTTAAAGTTTAACTTTTATAATAAATATCAAATTTTGGTTTTCGTTATTTCGTTTCTGTGTAATTAATAATAATTATCTATTATTGTGTAATTTCAAAATTTTCAATAATTTCATAGTTTATTATTAAACGAATGATTCCTTGCGTCAGGTTCACGTTAATATTATAGTGTGTTTTTTTAAGTATGCTCATACAATTTTAGATTCTGAGCTGAGTAGTGGATGTACTGATTGTACAATGATGCGTGTATTTTATATTTTTTATATTTTTATTTGTGTCTGTCACCACTTTTTAGGATAGTAAAAATACTTAGATTTCCATCGACAGTATCTTTTCGGATAGAAAATTGAATTTAGTTGGTATTTTTTTAGTTAAAAGTTAAAAATTTCCAGTAATTTTCAAAAAAAAATTTTTTTTATAGTTATTTTATGTTCAAATTTGGACGAAATTACTTATTAATTAACCAAAAATAACGATTTTAATTTAACATATATATTTTTAATTTAATAATTTTAACGATTAATTCAACATACCGGCTACTGTATTAATAAAAACTTATTAAAAACTAATAACAATATAAATATAAATTCAAATTCTGATTTTTGGAATTTTTAATTACACTTGAAAATTTCAGGATGTTTTTGTGACCAATACAAACTTATGTTTTTCAAATTGAAATCCCATTTTTTTACTTTTAATTATTCAGCAGATATTGGCAGAAATCCATTACAATTTTAGCTGGCTAACATTATTAATATCAATGTGAGCGGGGACTTCGATCCTACACAAATAAAAAGGAGGGGTAATGATGGACTTTGGGGGGGGGGGTGGCTAAGCTACCCTTCAATTTCCACCAATGTCGGCAGAAATATTTTTTTTTTATGATTTTAATGTATTTAAATCAAAATTCGAACTATACTCTTTTTCACGAGAGAAAGATACTGGCGGCCGACCAAAACTATTTCGCCACCTCGCATCTCCCATCAACTATCTCTTGTAAGCGTGATCACGTGGTCGTCCACACACCAATCAAATCATTTTACATTCGCGAAACGGTACCTTTATCTCGTGAAAAAGAGTATAGTAGTTTTTGAGTTATGAGGCTGAAGACCCTGCATCGGGCGACCCCCCACCTTCGAGATCCAATATTAAGAAGGAGGAGAGGATGGTCACCATCGCTGATTGGAAATGGGCAGAAACTGGCAAGGCGTCATAGACCCGTCGTCTCACCACATGACGCAGGCTCTAACCGGACACGGGTGCTTTCAGTAGTATCTGCGCCATATGGGCAGGGCTTCTAGCCCTCGCTGAATGCACTGCCAGTGTGGCTCAGACACAGAGGAACACACCATCTTCCACTGCCCGAACTGGGACAGTCTTCGAGATGAGCTACGCGCTCACCTGGTTCACCCTCCCGAGGCCACCGACGGCGAGAGCATCCTGTGTGGCCCTCTCTTCGAGGACCTCCCAATGGACCAGACGGATAAGGCGACGGTCCTCAATGAGGCAGAAGAGACTTTCAGACTCTTCTACAAAATGGTAGAAGAGATTCTGACTCTCAAAGAAGTCAAAGAAAGGGCGCGCCAGGCTGCAGACGCCGTGGCCGACTGACTCACAGAACGAGACTCGAGAGCGGCGGGCTTAGGCCGGCTCAAGAAAAGGCACGGGGACGAGAAGTCTAGGATGGCTGGTTTGACCGGTCCGAGAAGACACCAAATACTAAATTAATCAAACAATATGTAAAGGGACGGTCTTGGGCTTGCCTGGGCCGTCCTATGCAGCCATGTTAATGTAAATTTTGTAAGGCATCATGGAGCTCGCGGAATGTACATACGCATGTACAAGCTGCGATTCATGCGAGCTGGAATCATATGATGTATACTTTAAATAAACGATGCTGCATGGGAGCCAAGTAATGTGATAAATGTGCGGCTCCCATGTAGTGGTCTAAAAATAAAAAAAAATAAAGTTTTTGAGTTATATAATGTATTTGTGTACCAAGGATAAAACTTTATGGGTTAAGTAGATTTGGGGGCTAAGGTGATTTTAAAATATTGGTAATTTCTATTGATAAATAAAAAAATATATATAAATAATTTGTAAAAATGATCTAATTATATAACATATAATGTATATTATTGTAAAACCATATTTAAGGATTATTATCCTTAGTTGAACATTTTAATAATTCAGCAACTACTTATTAGAATTTTGATTTAGATATAAGTATCAAAATTTTCAAGAAAATCACCTTCTAAAAATGTGCAGTAAAAAAAAGGGGGGGTTGGGGCGGGGGTTACCGTTTTAAAAACCGTTTTTATCGCCACAGAACACTCCTTAAGTAGTAAAAAAAATATCAGGAATTGGAAAATATGGTCTTTATACCTGTGGGTATGGGGTAGAATACATCCACGACAGTTCATGCCAGTCCTAAAAGATGACCAAAATGGACCTGGCAATGGACAGCAACATTTTTAGCATCAATTATAGATTGATCTATACTTTAATAGCATCCCTTAATAATAAAAGATGTCATTGCGATGCAGAAGGCAACGGGAAACTACTGCATTAATTTTTCCAAACATCAAGCAATGAAGGACAACTTTAAAAATCTCCGGGGGAGGTAGAGCATGGCTTCCCAGGTCGTCAGCCAGCGAAATCCATGCTGAAGCCAAAAAACAAAACGTTGAAAATAAAATCAAAAACAAAACTACTCCAACTAAAATAGGAACGTGGAGCGTTAGAACGTTGTTAAGACCAGGAAGATTTGAAGAACTTAAACAACAAATTAAGCTAAGTCATCTTGATATTTTAGTAATGTGTGAAACTGGATGGGGTGATAACGGAGATTTCTGGAGTTATGACTTTCGAATGATACTTAGCGGAGACAAGCAAGAAAAAAACGGAGTTGGAATATTATTAAACAAAGTATGGGAACTACAAGTAGAAAATACTTATCATGTGAATGATAGAATATCACTTATTAAATTGAAGACATCCACAGTAAACATGATAGTCATCCAGGTATACTTTCCAACCTCGAATAGTCGTTCCCGGGTCGTTCCACCATTACCTGTAATTTAATCTTTAGTAATTATGTATACCGTTCGTTCGCCCAGAAATCACAGGTAGATGCTATTTACACTGATTTCAATAAGGCATTTGATTCAGTTAATCACAAAGCCCTAGTACAGGTCCTGAAAGCATCTGGAATTGGTGAACCTCTCTTGTCTTGGCTTTCGTCTTACCTTTCTTTCCGCTATCAATGGGTTAAACTGTATGGAGTGAGGTCTAACGCTTATCTAGCAACATCTGGTGTTCCACAAGGTGGACACCTTTCTCCGCTCCTTTTCTCTTTATTTATCAATAGTGTGTCAAGTGTTCTATCAAATAGTCGTATTTTGTGTTTTGCAGATGATATTAAACTCTTCTCCAGTGTATCCTCCTTAGATGACTGTATGTTGTTACAGATTGATTTTGATCGGTTCACTGAATGGTTCAATACTCTAGGCTTATCCCTTAATGTTTCTAAATGTAAGACCATGACTTATACTAGAATTCGGTCCCCTGTCAAATATGCATATCATCTTGGGCCAACTGCTATCGCATGCTCTAATGGCAGTGTTACTGATCTTGGGTTTATTCTTACTAGTAATCTCGATCCGAGTCCCCACATTGAACATATCTGTTGCAAGGCTTTTAGAACCTTGGGATTTGTATTGAGACTATGTAGAGACTTTCGATTAGGCTTATCCTTTAAGGTTCTTTATTGTACTCTCGTACGCCCTATTTTAGAATATGGTGCCGTTATTTGGAATCCTCACGACAATAATGACTCTGTCAGGCTAGAAAGGGTTCAACGAAAATTCATGAAGTATGCTGGATTTCGTTTGAATATTCCATGTGAACCTCATAACTACGAACCAGTTGCTTCTCAGCTAGGACTGGTTTCCCTGGCTGAGCGTAGGCGGTTGGCGGACATCAATTTTTTAAAAAACTTATTAGATGGAATTATCGACTCTCCTGAATTGCTTTCCTTAATCTGTTTCCGTGTTCCTCAACGTCCTTCCCGATCTATCGCTCCTTTTTATGTCCCTTTTGCCTCCACAAACTATCTAAAAAATGAACCAATTTCACGTATAATGAGTAATGCCAATGTTGACCCTTCGTGTCTACTTACTTTATAGCTGTTTTGTTTAATTAAATACTTCTAATCTTAAGTTATATAACTGTATACAATGTCTATGAATGTAATGTGTAATTGTGTTAAAGGGTTTTATCCCGTATATTTAATAATAAATAAATAATAAATAAATAGTGAAGACGACGAAATTGAACAAGTGTATGACTCTCTTGATGAACTGCTAGGAACAAATCAAGATAGCGATAATGTAATTATTATGGCCGATTTCATCGCAGTAGAAGGAGAAGGACAAGACAATCAAATTATTGGTAAACATGGTTAAGGAACAAGAAATATCAGAGCTCAAAAATAAGTCAATTATTGTAAGCAGAACAATTTTATAGTTGCCATAATGTTGCCTAACCTAACCATAATGTTTGAAGTATCGAAAAGAAGGTATACATGGGTAGCACCAGGGGTTACTCATCGTTACCAAATTGATTATGTATTACCAAAGAGTCGTTTCAAGAAACCAATAATGAGAAGTCACAGTTTCCTTGGCGCCGATATCAATAACAATCATAACCTAGTAGTAATAAAGTACAAAATAATACACAAGAAAATTATAAAACTACCCAAACGTAAAATATGAGACGTAGCAAAATTTAAAAATAAAGAAACAAAGAAGTCCAAAACAAAGTTCATAATGGACTGATAGCTGTTGGCATCGACGCTCTTCATGGGAAAAAGTGGTTTAAAATCTGCTGTGGAATCAATTGGATTCAGGAAACTGAATTAAATTAAATCATGAATAAAGAATGAGATAATGGACTTCATAAAATACTGCAATAAACTATTACAGAATAATAAAGCACCTAATACCCAAAAGTACAGAGTTGAAAAGGAGAAAGGGATGGATAAAACATGCTAAAATATTTGATTGAATATGACTGCAAATAAAATGGACAAAGCATAAGGAATAATTAAAACATTGTCAAGATTACCGAAGCCAAGAAGCTAAGAAGCCAAATTTGTTAAAGACAGGCATGGGAATTTAATTCTAGATGAAGGTTAAATAGCGACGAGATGGAAAGAGTACATAGTAGACCTGTATGAAGGATCGATAGGCAAAAACGAGATGAATATTGAGAATATAATTGAGTCAAACAAAGAAGACATAGGGCCAAATATAACAAAAAGTGAATTTGTTAAAGCACTGAGTGAATTGAAACAAGGTAAAGTGACAGGAGTATGACATCCCAGCAGAATTATTAAAAAAAGTTGGATTAGATACCGAGTATAAGTTATTTGATATGATTGAGGAAATGTATATTGATGGCAACATTCCGGAGGTATTTGAAAAAAGCAAAATTGTACTTATTCCTAAAAAAGGAAATTACACAGAATGCCAGAATTACAGAACAATAAGTCTATTAACACACGCGTCAGATATATAACTTATCATCATAAAAATAGGATAAGAAAGAAAACCGAAGAAGAACTTGATGAAGATCCATTCGGGTTTAGACAGGGAGTTGGTACAAGAGAACCAACCTTAGCTTTAAGGGTACTCACGGAAATAAGGCTAAATGTAAATAGGAATACATTTATAACTTTTATTGATTTATAAAGATCTTTTCAATCTTTTAATTGAATCTATAATTCAATATTCAATTACTTAACTTAACTTACATCTTGCATTCTTGCCCTGTAAACTGAATAAATCTACTATATATTTATGTATATACTTAAACAATCAATAATATGTATATTAAATAATTAAATCCTAACGAAGTATTTACAAATCTAAAGTAAATGCATATACAATATACAATACGTATTATTGTACCGACATCACCTACAGATCTCAACTATTAGTAATTAACACATAATAGCCCAAAGTAATGATCTTCTTTCTGCTTAGCTGAATAAGTGGACAAAAAGCATGCTCTTTGACTACATTATTATACAATCATACCTAAGGGTGTAAAATCGAGTGAGGATATGTCAACGTTTTTAAAAAGTTCTTCTTCTAACATTATTAAGCTTTCTCCTGAGAACTCATTAAATGTTGCCTCTATTCTTCAATCCGAGCTCAAATCTGTAAGTCTTAGTAACTCTAAGTTACATGATAAGCTGAACTGTCTCAATATAACAGATAATGGTACCTCATCTTCCAAATCAAATGTTAAACCCAACAATCTGCCAATTACTGTACACCCTAAGTTGAATACTGATACTCTTTCAGAAAGCCCGTAAACCAATTGACTATTAGTCGATCTTTGTTCTTAAGATCAAAATTCATCATCGGCTCTCAATAAAATTGATCTAATAAGTTGTCATAAGTACAGGTGCGGAAGCATGCTGATTTCTTTGTCTCAAGACTTGATCTATGTGTTACAACTATTATGCTGGAATATGAATTGTTCAATAGTTACTCAGATGTGACCATAAATAAAATGGTAATAAGACAACCATCACACTCCTCATTCCATGTGCACCTGACTGCGGAGAAGCTTGATGATGTCCTTGGACCAAAATTCTGGCCTGATGGCATAATGGTCAAACACTTTTGAGGTCGCCTTACGCCCGAGATGATTCTAAACACCACTGCAAAAAACTAATATCTTCGTTTTCGTCTAGCTGTGCTCCTCCTTTTGATGTACACGTTAATAGTTATAATAGTAAGGATTATTGTTGGGATGTAGGGATTTATGTACTTGTAACCAGGTTCTCTTTGGTCTGAGAACCAAGTTAAGTATTTTAAAATGTAGTGTTGCTGTTTTTGAATAGGTTTTTATCTGTTTCACTGAAACTAAATTTTCTTGCATCTAGCTAGGTCTAACCAACTATATTATAAATAGATGCGATATAAATGGTTTAACAAGTAGTTTTTCTAGGGATGGTGGTGTTCTCATTGCCATTCGTAGTGATATAATATCTAATTTAATTTACACTCCAGCTACTAATGTTGAGGATTTATTTGTCAAACATAGTTTTAATAATATCAACTTTGTAGTGTGCTCAGTGTACTTTCCTCCTAATTGCCCTATTTCTGCTTACGGATCTTTTTATCCACTGTCCTGTATGTTTTTCTCCTTCAACCAGAATGTGTATTCATTTTTTGCAGTAACTTCAATTTTCCAGATGTTATATTTTTCAACGATAGTTTTGGTTTAATAAACAATACGGTTTCTAATCCCAGAGTCCCTGATGCTTTTGCGTCACTGATAAAAGAGTCTATATCATAAAATCTGTAACTTCAGCAGTGCCTTGTGATCCTTACCATCCAGTTCTTCATATTATGATAAATTTGAATAAGGTTTCCCCTTTACTTGATCGTTCTCATAATTATTATGATTACCGCCGTGCTCCCAAACAAAAATATGCGAATTCTTAAATTAATTTAATTGGTTGGAGACCATAATGTTTCTTGATGTTGATAAGGCCGCTAATGCAATCTATGATGCCCAACACCCTTGCATTTTAAACGTTCCTGAAGTTTCATATGTAAAATCGAAATTTCCGAAATGGTTTTTTAAAAATCTTAAACATATTATTTTAAGCAAGAAACGGACACATGCTAAGTTTAAAACTGTCCCCTTGATAATGTGGAATTATCTACACTTCAAGCTTCTTACAAGACAGAATATAAGAAATTTTGTACTTCCTTCCTGTCTCGTACTGAGTATATGCTGAAATCTAACCCTAAGTCGTTTTAGGATCTTGTTTCGATTTTGAGCCACATATCTTAACTTTTTGAACTACTAGTATTGAGATATATCCAATCGCCTATTAACTCTATACTAAACGATGAGCAATATGGGTTCAGACCTGGTTACTTGGCCACTAAAAATTTAATGGTTTTAAAAATTTTGTTTTGGAGGCTATCGAAAATCACATCCAAGTAGATGTTATTTTCATAGACTTAACTAAAGCCTTTGATAGCGTTAACCATGGC